GCTCTTTATTTTCACACTTTAAGTTACCTCTTCTTAAGACAATATCGTAGACCTTTGCCTACACACCAACCATGTCCCAGTTAATCATACAGATGGTGTATTTAGCATACTGTATTCTCCTGGGATGTGGACATAGTTCTACTAAGAGAAATGTCTTAAACAGTACAGCTCATTTCCATAGCTAGAAAGGGTATAAATGACTGTCTTGTCTTACATAATTAGCTGTTTTCTCCCACTCTTTACCTCCATTAGATCTTGCCTCCAGGAACTAGGAGGCATCTATTTCTGACTGCTAGCAATCTACTAGTTGATAGGAAATTACTAAGGAAAATGCAGACCCTGGTGTAGCCCTTATCCTTGTAGAGAACAGGACGACTGGTTGAGTAGCTGAGGCTCCTCAAACCTCATAACGAAAGATGGATTTATCTTGTCAGACCTTATAAGCTTACTCTGTGAGTGTTGGCAAGCTGGGCTAGTGCTCACAGAATCACAGAATCACAGGGGTTGGAAGGGATCTCAAGAGATCATCAAATCCAACCCCCTGCTACAGCAAGTACGCTATAGCAGGTTGCACAGGTAGGCATCCAGATGGGTCTTAATTATCTCCATAGAAGGAAACTCCATCACCTTTCTAAGCAACCTGTGCCAGTGCTTTGTCATTCTTATCATAAATAAGTTCTTCCACAGATTTGTGTGGAATTTCCTGTGTTCCAGTTGTTGGCCATTGCTCCTTCTCCTACCCCTACAGACCACTGAAAAGAGTCTAGCCTCATCCAATTGCCTCCTGCACTTTAGATACTTATAACCATTGATCAGATCCGCACTGGAGAGAGATGGGTACACTTAGGACACAGTTCCTTTGAGTTATATTCAGTATTTCCTTGGGCCGAGATGGATCAAGCTTTGCATTCCAGTTGACTGCATTGATGAGACCTGACTCTAATATGAAGGGGTGGATGGTTAACCAGCTGAGAACTAGCTGTTAGGTCAACTAAATCACACCTGAGATGTCAAAATAAAAGGACAAGGAGCTTCCAACGATACCTTTACCCTAGTCCCACAAAATACTCTTGGAGCCAGCTTGCCAGTGTCCTGACCCTCTGTAGGGTGACAGAAGGATGGCTGTCTAGGTCACTTAGCAGAAAACCATGCTTTTCTTCCAGGAAGCCTTCTTCTGTCCCCACCAGTCCCTCACGCTGGCCAAAATAATTGCTATCATGCTTCACACACACTTAAATAATGAAGAGCTATTTAATGGACTGCTCATGAGGATAACAAAAAAGCACCGCTTGCCTGAAAATGGCTTAATTGTTTTCAACCAAAGAAAAATTCTCTTTTTCCGAGAGCAAAATTATTCGACAGACTCTCCTACTACTTTAGGAGGAAACCTGAAACGGATAGCAGTCGAAATCATCTAAGGCAGTCCAACTGTAGTTGGATGTGGGCCACCAGATGATTCTTCTGGCCTGCTGCCCTTCTCTTGGGAAAGGCAGGGAGCAGATGTTGTAGCAGCACATAATAATCCGAACAGCTGGGAACCTTCTTCCATGCTTAGCATTCCAAAGGGACGTTCCATAGTGGGACTTCTGGTTTTTTTTTCAGGTACGACTGTCATAAATTCTGAGAGTTTTTGAAGGGATCTGGTAAATGCTTTTTGGTTGTTTTGTTTTGTTTGGAAAGGTTATTTATTTCTGCAGGATGCTTTTCTTGGGACGAACAAATATTTTGCTGTGCAGGTTTGGGATACAGAAAAATAGGGTCTGATGAGATCCTTCTGAGTAGTATTTAGCATCTATGTCTGATTTATTTACTCTTGAACTTCTTTATACTGCATGGAAATCTAGCTTGGGGACTTATCCTTCGTAGACATCCAAAGTAGGTGCAACGGATGACATAATGAATGCACTTCTCTGTCTTTAATTTAAAGAATGCACAAGGTGATCAGATTTTTAATTCATACTCTTTTTTCCAGTTATATTTAGCAAAGTTACTCAAAGCTGGGAGATGTGGTTACGGAAGTTGGTATAAAAGGAGAAAGAGAAAGTGCAAAGTAGAGCTTTTGAAAAGTCTAGATGATTATTTGGACTGTTCCACCATGCTTCCACAGGGCTGGATGCATTCATAATGTGTCTGTGCATTCTTTGCATTCTTTTCTCAGAAGGCACCTATAGCCATAGGGCTGTTATGGTCCCAAGGGACAAGAATAGGGCTGCCTCATTCAGTGCTTCTGCCTCTGGACCTACATCCCTCCAGTCTGCTCCATATAGATTGAGAGCCACAGGGACTGTAACACACAAGTACATAACTGAGTCACGGATATTCACACTGGATAGGTAATGGATTTAGTTGCTCCTTTGCATAAATTCCTTTGTTTTTATTTTGCTTAATCTGAGAAAAGGGTAAAGGCGAGGAAGATTTGAAATGAATTTGTAATCTAAGAAAGCTGGAAGATAGAAAATGAAGGTGAAGGGTTCCCACTTTGGGAAGAAAAACAGTATTGATGTCCTAGCACTGGGAAATACTGAGGTGATCAGAAGAATCTTATCTGTGGGCAGCTGCTCCTACAACACAGGAAATATGTGTTGGGATGCAAGATCCATATCAAGTTCCTGATGTGGATCTGTGGGTCCTGAGAGAAGTATGGTTGACAGCTGCAAAAGCAGTGTGAGACAAAGTGTTTTCATGGGATATCCTGCCAAAGGGCTCCTCTACTCCTGCTATAGCTGTTAAGATTCTGTTATTGACCATTTCCCAGATCTGGAGAGGCTTTACCCTTGAATGATGCTCTCTGCAGAAGAGAACAGGAACAGCATAACCAATATGGACCCCTGGGGGACAACACCTGTCACTGGCCTCCATCTGGACATAGAGCCATTGACAGCAACCCTCTGGCTGTGACTATCCAACCAGTTCTCTGTCACCGAACAGTCTATCCTTCAAACCCTTATATTTCCCATTTAGAAAGGAGAGGAGGACATCCTTTCCATCAGCTCTGAATGGATGTGGGCCACATGTCCATCTAGATGGCAAATGCCATCTAGAAAACGCTGCTTAGAATGAGCTGCAGTGAGCTGCAGGGCCATGAGGGGCTGTAGGGTTGCCATGAGGAGCTGTAGGGCCGCCATGAGGGGCTGCAGGGCCATGAGTGGCTGTAGGGTTGCCATGAGGGGCTGTAGGGCAGCCATGAGCAGCAGGACCATGAGGGGCTGTAGGGCCATGAGGGACTGTAGGGTTGCCATGAGGGGCTGCAGGACTGCAGTGAGCTGCAGGGCTGTGAGGGGCTGAGGGCTGCCATGAGCTGCAGGGGCATGAGGGGCTGTAGGGTTGCCATGAGCTGCAGGGCTGTAGGGTTGCCATGAGGGGCTGCAGGGCCATGAGGGGCTGTAGGGTTGCCATGAGCTGCAGGAGCATGAGGGGTTGTAGGGCTGCCATGAGGGGCTGTAGGACTGCAGAGAGCAGCAGGGCTGTGAGGGGCTGTAGGGCTGCCATGAGCTGCAGGGCTATAAGAGGCTGTAGGGCCATGAAGGACTGTAGGGCTGCCATGAGGGGCTGCAGGACTGCAGAGCTGCAGGGCTGTGAGGGGCTGAGGGCTGCCACGAGCTGCAGGGCTATAAGAGGCTGTAGGGCCATGAAGGACTGTAGGGCTGCCATGAGGGGCTGCAGGACTGCAGTGAGCTGCAGGGCTGTGAGGGGCTGAGGGCTGCCATGAGCTGCAGGGGCACGAGGGGCTGTAGGGCTTCCATGAGGGGCTGTAGGGCCGCCATGAGCTGCAGAGGCATGAGGGGCTGTAGGGTTGCTATGAGGGGCTGTAGGGCCGCCATGAGCTGCAGGGACATGAAGGGCTGTAGGGTTGCTATGAGCTGCAGGGCCATGAGGGGCTGTAGGGCTGCCATGAGGGGCTGTAGGGCTGCAGTGTGTGCTGCAGGGCCATGAGGGGCTGCGGGACCATGAGGGGCTGTAGGGCTGCCATGAGAGGCTGCGGGACCATGAGGGGCTGCAGGGCTGCAATGAGCTGCAGGACCATGAGGGACTGTAGGGCTACGAGGGAGCTGCAGCCCAGAAGCCCTTTAGTCTCCAGAGCACCCTGTGGGCTCACATCCACCATGCAGCCCCTGTGCCCCTTCTGCGGGGCTGCCATCCGGCCTCTTTTTCCTCATTCTGTACATAAATCCAGCATACGTCCCGTTAAACGTCCTGCTTCGCTTCCCCTCAGCTCCCTTTTGTCACTTTGCTATTGACTCTCTGCAGTTTGGGGAGAAGCTGCCTCACCTCACCTTGCACTCACACGTCCTCCCATCCAGGGGCAATGCCTGCCTCCCTCCATCCACCCCATCACCCCGTTCTGCCGAGCCAGCCCCGCTAATTAAGACGAAATCAAGCGGCGAGGCAGCACAGATGGTGCTGAGGGGACAGAGAGAAGGAGGAACCGAGAGAGGTAGAAAGAGAAAAACAACAACAACAAAACCCAAAAAATTACAAAACAAAACAAACGGGGGTGGTGGTGAAGTGCTTGATTTAAGAAACTCGATTTGAATAACCCCCGCCTCCCTCTGCTCTTCATTGGTGCCTTCGTTCTCCTCCATATTAATGAAGAAGCCGAGGAGAGGCGATTGGCTCCGCTTCCCTTTGGCTTGCTTCAGGCACTCGGGGGAGGAGGTGTTTGCATTTCTCCGCAGGAGCAGCTCGTTTTGCAGAGCATTGTCTGGGTACGAGAACCGCACGCACAGACAGACAGACAGAGTGATAGATAGACAGACACACAGCGGTACGGGGGGGAGCACAGCACAGCTCCGACCCGCAGGCACACAGCATCCGAGCCGGTCAGAATCTCCTTCTCCTCCCCCCGCTTCCCGAGCGAGAAAAATACCCCCTTAAAAAAAGCAAAAAAAAAAAAAAAAAAAAAAAAAAAAAAAAAAAAAAAAAAAATTCTTCACCCACCCCCCCAAAAAAACAACAAAAAACAAAAAACAAAAAAAAAAAAACCAAAAAAGTTTGCAAATCTCCGGCTTGCCTTCTTGCCTTTTTATTATTATTATTATTATTATTATTTGGATTTAGCGATGGCAAATTCCTTCACGGCCGGGACCTGGCCCATCCCCTGAGCAAAGCAGCCTGGACATGACCGGCAGGCGAGGGAGGAGGAATCGTGATTCCCTCCGGAGGCTCCGACCCCTCCCTCCCCCCCCTCCTCTCCTCCTCCGGCCGGTGCGAGCCCGGCGGGGGCAGCCCGGCTCCGGCCGCTCCGTTTCCCCGGAGCAGCTCCGCGTCCCCCCGGCTCCGGCCCCGCCCCGGCACGGCACGGCGGGATGCAGCATCTCCAGCATCGGGACGGATCCCTGCTGCAATGGTAAGTGCTTATCTCCGGCCTCTCCCGGGTTGGGGAGCCGCTCTGTTCGGGGATGCCCGAGAGCCGCTTCTTGCAGCCGGCTCGTTTTGGAGTGACAGTGATTTATCGGCTTCTCCCTGATTTTCCCCCATGTCCTGAGAATGTGTTTTTTTTTTTTTTTTTTTTTGGGGGGGGGGGGGGGGAACGGCAAGCAGGCTCTCTGCCTCCAGCCAGGCTCCGAGAACGCGGCCGCGAGATAGATGGGTTTCTTTCGGAACGAATAAATCTCCCTTTGCAAGCGGTGACAGGTTAACGTGCTTGGTATGGGGATCACGTCTGATTTTAACACAATATGGCTGGTAAATAAAACCTGATTGCTAACAGACCCGCTGCTGCTGTTGGCATTTTCAAGCTCTAGGCTACCTTTGCAGTTCTGCATCTTCACCTGCCACACAAACTCCAGTTCACCCTTCAACCGGTGCACCAGGACTCTTCTGTTTTTACTGCGGGGTCGTAGTAAAAATTGCTGTTAATGTGGCTTTGACCTCCGCTTGCACGCCTCTGGGCACTTCTCCTTATCAGCATTGGAACAGCTGGCTCTAATACCAATTTTATGCACTGCATATCTTAAGGGAGAGGGGTAGGCAGACTTTTTACATGCGAGCAGTTCAGGTGTGTGCTGGAATCCGGAGAGTTTACTGCCAGGGAGAGGATAATGCAGCGTGGTGGTCAGGTGTGGAAAATGCATGAAAAAAGAGAGAGACAGATGTGTTTGGAGACGTAGTGGTGTTTGTGGCGAGACGATCCATCCCGCTGACTTAGAAGTACATTGGGAAGAACTCCCTGGAAGTCAGTAGCTTTCCTCTGCATCTGATCTGCTGGTAAACAGGACCTGACCCTTAACGTGAAGCATTCATCGGAATTGCTCTGTAGGTAATTATGATAGTAATAAAAAATAGTCACTGAAACGAAGAAGGTGGCAAAATGACCTGGTTCTTTCCTAGGGCATTATGGAGTGCCATCCGTCTTGTGTTTGCTAATTACAATGCGTGTGTTGGAACGATGCTGCAATAGGCAATGTAATTGAAGATGGCTTTTTTTTGTCTATTTGTTGTTTATTTGTCGTTTGTTTTAATCTGCCGTTGTCAACCAAACAACAAATAGATTTTCATCTGATGTTATTTGGGTTCACAGCCATCTCGGTGTTGTGTTCTGCCTGTACCAGTCGGGTAGTGTGGGGAGATGTTTCTGTGGTTAATCAGAGTGAATGTATGATTGCCTAAGGTTACTGTCAATGATAGCAGGAAAGCAAAATCCTTAAAGTGGTGTTGATATAGCTATGGATAAAGAATGATCCATATGCATTATATAAGCATCCTTGGTTGATATGAAACACACTGGAGCTGCCTTGAATGAAGTTGTCCTAAAGGACGGGTAAAGCAACGCTGCTCCAATTTGATGGGTAATTAAGGAATGCTATTCAGTGCAATAACAGCAGTTGGATTAAAGTTGATGTCTGCTTGTATCCTGCTTGTAGCTCTGGCTGATGGTTTTCTATCGTGTTTTTTTTTCCTGTCTCTATGTTCTGAGAACAGGGGATGCTGCTTTGTTGTTCAGTCGGGACAGCTGTGATTGTTCTGCTGTTGTAGTGGCAATCTATCTTGGCCATCACGGAGCGCAGGGTTTGTGTTGTTTTCTCCAACCTAAGGCATGTGTGCAGCGATGGGAAGGATAACCATTGGCAGTGAGCAAGCTCCAAGGTTGTGGGGGGCTTCTCAGAAAGCCAGTGACCCCAGACAGGGACTGGTTTTGTGCTTGATTCTCGGCTCCAGCCTTCCATTGGGGTTTCTGCGAGTAACCTTAAATCTCCCTGTAGATTTGTAGATTTATGATGCCTGCTGTTCTCATGGCGGTGCCACAGCCGCCTGTAGCTCTGCTGTTGTCAGTATGCATGCGAAGCTCATAAACACGAAGGCAGAAGCTTTGTTGTAGGATGCTACCAAGGAGAGAAGCTCAGAGATCTCTGAAATGGTCACGTTTAGACTTTTTTTTTTTTTTTTTTTTTCATTGCATCTCTCTTAATTTGGCTGAGTGAGCCGGCATCCTGGAGATATTTTTTCTGGAGTTGAGTTCCATATGTGCCTACGCCTTTGATCAGTTGAGCCCCATGTCCTCAGGCTGATTCATTCGAATATAGCAGATTTTGTTTTTCTTTCCTTCCTTCTGAGCACACTTAGTACAAACAGTCTAATTCCTAAATTAGCTCAGTTTATCTTCTGATGAAACCAGAATATTTGAGTTAAGAAACTCAGAAAAAGTAAACACACGACACCATCACACTGTCTATCATATATGGCTGAAAGATCTGCAGAAATATCACATTTACTCCCATTTTTTTTCCCCTGTCATTCTCAGGAGAGGTAAGCTGATGGCAAGATATAGCAGTCAGTGGAGATAGAAGGTTCACTTCACCCTAACACTTGGCCCAGAGACCACAACATCAACCTTTACAGCAACAGAGTATGTTTTTGCATTGGTTTGTGTTCCTTTATTTCCATTCCCAGTTCTCCTTGCACATCTGACATCCAAGCATCCTGCGTCACCTGTGAAGGCAGTAGAGATGTGAGCGAGCGCTGAACTCAACAGGATCTTTCCACACCGATGCAAAAAGTGCAACAAATCTACCCAAAGGGGTGTAAATGCACCGGTGAGAAAGTCTCTCTTTCATCCTATCCACGGCTGTAGTCATTTTTACTGATAATAAGCGGGCAAGGATGGCTTAACCTTCATTCAGAGTGCTGCTATCCTATATATACGGCACCCCCTGATGGGATACATTTACAGCTCTGTTCTGCTCTTAAGTGCTTTGCGTACAGAAAGGTATTTGGTTGTCGAGGATCACTAACAAGTGCTAGGATTGTGGTGGCTGTTGAAACAGATTGGATTGTTGTTGAGTGGGCACAAATACATGGGAAGGAAGGCAGACCTTTTTCAGAGCGCTTTGCTGGTTGCACACACACACACACACACGCTTTGCTTTGCACGTGTTTTATTCTCCGACCACCTTTTGCTTTCTCAGTTTGTCCATCCAGCTTCTTCGGCTTTATCTCCACAAAACAAATTAAGAACTCTTAGAAAGCAAGATGGATTCTTTTAGTCTTGTTCACTTAATTCACTTCAATTCGTTTGCACTCAAGGCCAGGCTGGATGTGGATCTGGGCAGCCTGATCTGCTGGTTGGTGACCCTGCGCATAGCAGGGGGTTGGAACTGGGTCCTTTTCAACCCAGGCCATTCTGTGATTCTGTGATTCAGACGATGGGCTGATCTGTAGAGTAACTGGATTGGTAATTTCAGGGCACTTAAATCATACAGCTTTACACTGTAGCATGTAAAGCTAACATGGCTGTTGTGCTGGGAATATTCTTTGGATAGGAGCATAAACATCCAGGTGCAGTTGCAGGGGCTGCTGTTTGGTGCTCTGATTCTATGCTAGCATTGTTCTCCTGACATAATTGTACCATGAAACGAACTGCTTGGCATTTAACATCAGAGTTTATCTGCCCTGGGGTCATCCCAACAATCTCATTGCTGCTCATTCACTCTTGGGTGGGTTAGGATATCAGGGTGTGTGTTAGGGCTCTGATCTCAAATTGCTCTGATCTCTTCATTTGGCAGATTTTTAATTAATGTTTTTTAGAAGCGTGGACAATTCCACTTAAAATCAATTTTTTTTTTTTTTTTTTAACAATTTTTATCAACAATTCTGCTTTGCATTATTGTAACTCATAAGTCACCCTAAAACCAGCACTTAGAAAACTAAAAGGGGATAAGTGGTTGTATGGTTTAACTCTCCTTCTCCCTGATAACAATTCTGGGAGCAGTGATTATAATATTTCTGTTTATAATGCGTTGTGAATGGGAAATTTTGAAGTCTAAGAGCTGCCTATGGAGCATGGAGCACACATCTCACTGAAGGTTGGTTTGTCTGCTGTTGAGGTAGTCCACAAAAAACCATTGTGATTAGAGAATGTTGGGTCACATTTGCTTATGAGCTGCAAATGGAAGGATAATTATAGGCTGTTATCTGTGATTTGTTGGGCCTGCTAAGTAGAGCTGAGGGTAAAGGGAGGAAAAGTCCTTTCCATCTGTATGGTGGGTTAATAGCCCAGGTTTTTATTCTTTGCTTCCTCGGGATGAGACGTTTTGCTGCTTTCTTTTCCCACCAAGGACAGAATATCTGACTTGTTGGGGATTCTTAAGGCCAATGTCTCGTTGATTGGAAACTTGGCAATATTGAGTTGCCCCTTTTCAGGGAGCAGGCATGCAATGAGGTGCAAATTACCCCACTCTCCATGTGAAATCGTGGCTATAAGGGATCCCTTACTGAGCTGTCATTCATTTCACGTGGAAGAAGGCTTTCACTCACAAGTATCTGGCAATCAGGGCTGATGTTTGTCTATCATGGAATCATGGAATGGCCTGCGTTGCAAAGGATCACAACGCTCATCCA